ATGAATGAGTTATTGTCAAGGAGTAGGAATGGAGGGATGTGAAAGGGAGGTGGACGCGGAGGGGGATGATGATGATGATGATGATGATGATGATGATGATGATGATGATGCTGATGCTGATGCTGATGCTGATGCTGATGCTAAGTCAGATGCTGCTGCTGCTGCTGATGATGATTGTGACGATGACGATGACGATGGCGATGATGATGATGCTGATGATGATGCTGATGCTGATGACCATGGTTATGTTGATGATAATGACGACGATGATGATGCTGATGATGACGCTGATGCTGATGCTGATGCTGCTGATGACGACGATGATTCTGATAATGCTGATGATGATGATGACGATGATAATAATGATGATGGTGCTGGTGATGATGATGATGATGATGCTGATGATCATGATCATGATCATGCTCATGATGATGCTGATGATCATGATGATGATGCTGGTGCTGCTGCTGGTGATGATGACCATGATGATGATGCTGGTGATGATAATGATGATGCTGATGCCAAGTCAGATGCTGCTGCTGCTGATGATGATTGTGACGATGACGAGGCCGATGGCGATGATGATGATGATGCTGATGATGATGCTGATGCTGATGACCATGGTTATGTTGATGATAATGGCGACGATGATGATGCTGATGATGACGCTGAAGCTGATGCTGATGCTGCTGATGATGACGATGATTATGATAATGCTGATGATGCTGATGACGATGATAATAATGATGATGGTGCTGGTGATTATGATGATGATGATCATGATCATGATCATGCTCATGATGATGCTGATGATCATGATGATGATGCTGGTGCTGCTGCTGGTGATGATGACGATGATGATGATGCTGGTGATGATGATGATGATGATGCTGATGTTGATGTTGTTGTTGATGATGATGATGATGATGCCGACGCTGCAGCTGCTGATGATGATGATGATGATGATTGTGATCATGATTATGGAGCTGATGATGCTGATGATGATAACGGTGATGATGATGATGATGATGATGATGGTGATGGTGATGGTGATGGTGATGGTGATGATGATGATGCTGGTGATGATGATGATGCTGCTGATGATGATCATGCTGATGATGCGGATGCTGATGATGATGCTGATGATGCTGATGATGATGCTGATGAAGATGATGATGATGATGATGATGATGATGATTATAATCATGATGATGATGCTGATGATGATGATGATGATGCTGATGCTGATGATGATGATTATGCTGATGATGGTGATTATGCTGATGATGATGATGGTGATGATGATGGTGATGATGATGATGATGATGATGGTGATGATGATGACGATGATGCTGGTGCGGCTGCTGGTGATGATTATGATCATGATGATGATGCTGGTGATGATGATGATGATGATGATGATGATGATGATGCTGATGCTGATGCTGATGATGCTGATGATGATGCTGATGAAGATGAAGATGATGATGATGATGATGATGATGACGATTATAATCATGATGATGATGATGCTGATGATGATGATGCTGATGATGATGCTGATGATTATGCTGATGATGATGATTATGCTGATGATGATCATGATGGTGATGATGATGATGATGATGATGATGAAGCTGATGATGGTGATGATGATGGCGATGATGATGATGATGATGGTGATGATGGTGATGGTGATGGTGATGGTCATGGTCATGGTGATGATGATGGTGATGGTGATGATGATGATGCTGATGATGATGATGATGATGCTGCTGATGATGATGCTGATGATGATGATGATGCTGATGCTGATGTTGCTGATGATGATGATGATGCTGATGAAGATGATGGTGATGGTGATGATGATGCTGGTGGTTATAATGACGATGATGATGATGACGATGATGATGATGATGATGATGATGATCATGATGATCACTTCTGATGATGATGATGATGCTGCTGATGATGATGACGACGATCATGATGATGATAATGATGATGGTGATGATGCTGCTGCTGCTAATGATGATGATGACGATGATGATGATGATGATGATGATGATGATGATGATTATGATGATGATGATGATGATGATGATGATCAATGGATATGATGATGATGATGATGATGATGATGATGATGATGAGGATGGTGATGATGAGATGATGGTGATGATGAGATGATGGTGATGATGATGGTGACGATGATGATGATGATGATGATGAATGATTGATGATGAATGATGGCTGATGATGATGATGATGATGATGAGATGAGATGATGATGATGATGATGAATGATGATGATGATGATGATGATGATGATGATGATGATGATGATGATGATGAATGATGATGATGATGATGATGATGATGATGATGATGATGATGATCAGGAGTAGGAGGAGGAGGAGGAGGAGGAGGAGGAGGAGGAGGGGGTGAGAAGCTGGAGCAGGAGGAGCACGGGGAAGGATGATCATCAGACGGGAGCTGAGGGAGAAGCCTGGGCGGGGAACAGGCGTCTTTCGCCCAGTCCTCGGGACCTATCGACCACCCCTTTTCTTCCTTCCCGCGGAAAGGCTTTCACGAGATGCCCTCCATTGCCTCGCATTTTGCCCAGAAGCACTCGCGACAGTGCTGCCTCTGTTCAGACGGATACCTCTATCGCCTCCCTGTCGAAGAAGTTGCCTGTTTTTAGGCTTGTCCTTTTGCAGATATTAGTTGCCTGCCAGCAAGACATACATCATGTACAGCAGCAGTGGTAGCAATTGCATAGTAGCATCTACAGCAACCAACCCGTCCAACAAGAAAGCAGGCATCGGGGACCCCTTTGGTGCTGCTTGGCTGTGCTATTCGTTGCTCTTGGAGAGGTGTACGTGCGAGTCTTGGTGATGCACTGCGACCAGCTGCACTTACCTATCAGCGCATCGGGTATGCCGCGGCGGGCACGCCAGGGCCCCCAGCATGCACAGGCCTTCGGGCCCTGCGAGGGCGAGTGCCGGACTCGTGGCACCATCGTACCGTGCAGCGCCCCATTGCTCAGGCCGTTCTCTGGCTCAGGTGGCCCTCGACGGTGCCAGCCGCCCCCTCCGCCCGCGGTGCCGCGCATGTCCCGGGCCGGGGGCCCTCGGGGCATCCTGGCGCTTGCCGCGCTGCTGTGCCTGCTGGCCGGCGCTCGCAGGTGGGATGCGCTCCTTGTCCCGTCGAGGCGGGCGCTCTCGCCGCGGCGCGCGCTCGCGCCCGCGCGGGGGCCGCGCGTCGGTTGCAGCTTCTTCGGGGCGGGAGGAGCCGCCCCTGCCGCCGCGGACCTCGTCGACGGCGCGCCCAGCTGGGAGGACCTACGCGCGAGGCTCGAGGCGGCGCAGACGCCCGCGGAGAGAGCCTTTCGCAGGGACCTCGCGGCGGGGACCGGGCCCCCCAACGCTATGGCCAACCTCAGAGTCTTCGGGGGGGGCGAGGAGGCGGCGAAGCAGGTGACGCTGTTCCGCGACTCGGCGTCGTGGTGCCCCTACTGCCAGAAGGTGTGGATCCTCCTGGAGGAGAAGCAGATCCCGTACAACGTCAAGCGGGTCAACATGAACTGCTACGGGGACAAGCCCCCCGACTTCCTGGCCATGCAGCCGAGCGGACAGATCCCTGCCGCCATTATCAACGGCGCAGTGCTGAGGTCCTCCGACCAGATCATCCAAACTCTCCTCAGGATGCCCGGCGCATCGCAAGAGGCGGACGACGCCCTGGACCCCTTCGACCGTCCTGAGAGCAACGCGCTGCTGAGCTTAGACCGCACTCTTGGTAGCGGGTGGTTGGACTGGGTGCGCGGGGGTGGCAACGGGGCCAGATTCATGGATGGCCTCCAAAGGCTTGAGGAGGCGCTCAGCGAGGACGAGAGCGGGCCGTACTTCTTGGGCGAACGCTTCTCGCTCATTGACATCATGTACACGCCCTACTTTGAGCGAGCTGTTGCCTCCTTGGCATATTATCTAGCTGCCTGCGGCAAGCACCGCCACCGTGCCTGTGCAACAGCGTAGCATAAAAGGAGTTTGGAAGGAACTTTACTTGAAGACCCGTTCAACTTTAGACAGGGTGCTGAGTTGGGAGTTGGTGCGCGTCTCGAACACCCCCTCCTTGTTCGCAGCCTCGTTATCTTCCTCTTTGCTCGCTCCTCCTCTTCCCTCTCCTTTCCGCTCCCTCTTTAACGCATCTTGGAGGCGTCTCTGGAGCTCTTGAGCATCTCTCGGGGGCTTCTTAGAGCCGTTTCGGTGGCCTTTGGAGAGTCAGTTGGGGCCTCTTGGAGGCTTCTTGGGGGCATCTTGAGGGCCTCTTAGGGCCTCTGAGGGGCGTGTTGGGGGCCTCTCGGGAGCTTTGAGAGGCACGCTTGGGGCTCTGAAGGCACTAACGGAGGGACATACTTTCAAGGCCAGCTTGATTCCCTGTACCTTCTTGGGGCCTTGGATTTTTTGTTGGCCGTGTTGGGGACCTCTTGGGCCGTCTTTGTGTTCTCTTGTGCCGTTTTGGGGCCCTCTTGGGCCGAGTTGTCGCCCTCCTCGGCCGTCTTGGGGCCCTCTTGCAGCCAGACTGTTTTGGAACCGTCGTGGGGACCTTTGGGATGTCTTGGGCTTTCGGCAGCCCGAAAGGGCCAGTATGCTGAAATCTTAGAAACACTAGGCAGCAACATCAATGCTGTCTTCTCACATCTTAGGTGGGGTTCTTGTTTCCCGTGGACGCGCCACGCGTGAGCCTCCTCATCTCACACTCCTCGCCTCTGTCCTCTCCATCACACCATCGCCATCACTATCACCATCCCATTATGCTCGTCGATCATCATCATCATCATCATCATCATCATCATCATCATCATCATCATCATCATCATCATCATCGTCATTATCATCATCACCATCATCATCATCATCACCATCATCATCATCTTCACCAGCATCATCACCATCACCATCACCATCACCATCACCATCACCATCACCATCATCATCATCATCATCATCATCATCATCATCATCATCATCATCATCATCATCATCATCATCATCATCGTCACCATCATCATCATCATCATCATCATCGACAACAACAACAACATCATGATCATCGACATCTTCGTCGTCATCGTCATCGTCATCGTCATCGTCATCGTCATCGTCATCGTCATCGTCGTCGCCATCGTCATCGTCATCGTCATCGTCATCGTCATCGTCATCGTCGTCGTCGTCATCGTCGTCGTCGTCGTCGTCAGCGTCAGCAGCAGCAGCAGCAGCCGCAGCAGCAGCAGCAGCAGCAGCAGCAGCAGCAGCATCGTCATTTCCATTATTATATATCACCATGGTTATGCACTCCGCAGGCTTGAATCTTGAAGAACTCTCGAGCGGGGCCTCGTTCGTGCGGGGACTGCGTGGATTGCTCGGCTGTGGATATGTAGCAGTGACAATTGCGCGCTTTAGGTGTGGTACGGCTTGACATATCACATAAGACTCCAAGATGCACCCAATAAAGCCCCAAGACGGCCCAAAAGGGCCCCAACACGGCCGAAGAGGAACACAACAGGCTTCGAAGCGAGCCCCAAGAGGGCTCCAAGAGGGCCCACGAGGGCCTCAAGACAGCACCTAGAGGGGTCCAAGACGGCCAGAGCCTTGCAAGACTGCCCAGCGCGGCCTTGGGACGACCCAATAGGGATTTAAGACGGCCCGAGAAGGCGCCGGGAGACCCAACTCATAGATCTACGCACGGTTTTTGGTGGGAGGAGTCCTGGGAACCGTGTCTATAGCGGCTTCTGATGGATGGAATCTTTGAAAACCGCTCGCAGACGGCCCAGTGACGGACACAGTTTTGACGCCACAGTTCCCAACAGCTCCAAATGCGGAGAGCACATGTTTTAGGCTAGTCGGTGGCGAAACAACTCTTAACGCCGAGGGTCACTAGAGCGAGCGATGACGTGAAGACGCTTCACACCAAGGCTCCCACGAGCGAGCGATGACGTGACAAAACTCTTAACTCCTTCGCTCTCAAGAGCGAGCGGTGACATTAGCCCTCTCGGGCAAGTTCCTGCAGCGCTTTTTCCGTTCCCGTGCAGGCCCAGGTGACGGAAAGAGCCAGGTACGGTGATGGTGATGAGGTTCTGGTTGGGTCAAGTTCTCTATCTAGGGAGGGGTTCCAGGGGAGGCGAAGCGCGGGGACATGGGCGTAACACGCCCGCCCGTCCTCAAGACGGCCCAAGAGATGCCCGAAACGGCCTACGATACCCCCAAGACGGCCCCAGAGAGGTTCAAGAGAGCTCCGAGACGGCCGAAGAGCGCCTGAAGAGATCCCAAGACTGCACAAGAGCGCCCCAAGATGGCGTCAGATAGTTCAAGATGGTCCAAGAGGGCCCCAAACAGCCCAAGAGGCCGCCAAAAGGACCCCCAGAGCGCCTCAGGAGGCCAAACACACATTGATTGTCCTCAGGTGTTTGAGAGGACCCCTAGTCGGCATGAGGAGGCGCAAAGCATATAGTTTCTTTTGCTTTTACTTGTTTAGTTGTGTTCCCGCTTTTTCGGGCCCAGATCGGCCGAAGACGGCTGTGAGGGCCTCTGGGATTGACCCAAGACGAAGAAGGACGACTTCAGGAGGCTCCCAAGAGGACCTCAAGGCGGCCTCAGAGGGCACCAGGACGGCCACAGAGAGCCCCAAGACGCCCCAAGACGAGCATGGCCTTCCAAGACGGCCCACGAGGGCTCCATGACGGCCCAGCAGGGCCCCAAGACACCCGAAAGGGCTCCCAGAGGACCTCCCCTCTGGACGACCCAAGGATGGACGCAGCGTTGACGCCAAGGCTCCTAAGAGCACCAGGTGACTGGAAGGCCCTTCTTGCATGAGTCGGTGGCGTAAAACAACTTCGAACGCCAACGGTCCCAAGAGCGACCAGTGGCGCAGAAGTCGATGACGTCAGCAGCTTTTACGGCCAATGCTTCCGAGAACGAACGGTGCTCTTAATTCCAAGTCTCCCAAGAGCGAACGGTGACGTAAACAACTCTTCACACCAAGGCTCCCAAAAGCGAACAGTGATGTAACAAGCTCTTAACCCCAAGGCTCCCAGGAGCGAACTGTGACGTAAACAAGCTCTTCACACCAAGGCTCCCACGAGCGAACGGTGACGTTCAGAATCTCTTGATGTTAAGGCCCCCAAGGGGGAACGGTGCCATGAGCCCTCTCGGGCAAGTTCCAGCAGCGCTCTTACCGCTCCCGTGCCAGCTCAGGTTTTAACGCGCCCACTCCGTGCAGGCACGGTGGCGGATAAGGGCTTCAACATCCGGGACAGCGAACGGTATCCGGCCATCAACCGGTGGCTGGACGCTCTGGACACGCGGCCCAGCATCCAGGCGTCCAAGTCGGACTACTACACGCACTGCTGGGACTTGCCGCCCCAGATCGGCGGCTGCAACCCGGATCCCAGGGGCGCCGAGGTTCGGGGGTGGACAGAACCCCCAACAGTGACACGTCGATTAGTGAATTGTCCGTTTTCGGTTCTCGAGAGGGCGCCGCGGCCGTCATTTTCCAGGCTTGCGCCCGCCAGGTTTGGGCCTCAGGTCGTTTTCACTAAACCACGTTTTACTAAAGGGAGGTCTGTCAATCCCCGAGAGGTGCGCGAGCAGATCGACGGCGGGAACTGGAAGCTCCCTCTGCAGGACTCCTGGGAGCCGGACTGGGGCTGGGTCCCGCCCGCCGCCGCCCGCCGCGAGGCCGTCGAGAGGCTGCTGCACCAGCCGCAGAGCGTGGCCCGCTTCGCGGCGCGCGGCGCCGCCGCGGCGGGCTTCCCGCCGGCGTGGGCCGAGCTGGCGGACCCGAACGCCCGGCCCGCCGAGGATCAGCCACGCGCAGAGGGGGCTGGGGGGAGGGCTTCTTCGAAGCACCCCTGCTTCTGAACAGGCGCGGGCCTTGTATGTATGTATGTATGTATGTATATATGTATGTATGTATGTATGTATGTATGTATGTATGTATGTATGTATGTATGTATGTATGTATGTATGTATATGTATGTATGTATGTATGTATGTATGTATGTATGTATGTATGTATGTATGTAGGTAGGTAGGTAGGTATAGGTATGTATGTATGTATGTGTATGTATGTATGTATGTATGTGTGTGTGTATGTATGTATGTATGTATGTATGTATGTATGTATGTATGTATGTATGTATGTATGTATGTATGTATGTATGTATGAATGTGTGTGTGTATGTATGCATGTATGCATGTATGTATGTATGCATGTATGTGTGTGTATGTATGTATGTATGTATGTATGTATGTATGTATGTATGTATGTATGTATGTATGTATGTATGCATGCATGTATGTATGTATGTATGTATGTATGTATGTATGTATGTATGTATATACAAACACACATGTAAGGCCGGCGCCTTCTGAGAAGGAGCCTCTAAGAAGCCTTCCCCCCTCCCTCCACCCCCTTGTGCGCGCCGCCAAGAGGAGTGGGTGCCCGCGGTGGAGCTCTTCCTGCGCCACGCCGCCGCGCTCCTGCTCGCCGACGGCGCCGACGGCCGCGGCGACCCGCCCGCGGAGGAGGTGCGGCGGGCGGCGGCGGACGCGGCCGCGGCGGTGCCGCAGGCCTCGCGCGGGCAGCTGGCGGGCTGCCTGGAGCTCCGGTGTTGCCAGAAGTCGGCGTCACCCCGACATGCTGATGCTATGTGTGCGTCGCACCCCCCAGGGGGCGACGCGCGCACCGGGAAATCTGACAGTACATGCTCCGTAGCGGACGTTTTCTGGCCGTACCGCTCGGGAAGCTTTGTACTACAAGGCGCTTGTACTATATACTACATGTTCCGGTCGGAGGCACGCATCCGAAGAGGACACAGTATTAGTATGTCCTTGTGCGTCCCAAAAAGTACCCTTGGCCCCAGGTGTTCCCAGGATTCCCCAGCATTTCCCAGGAGGCCCCCCACGGCCCCCGGGAGCACCCTTTACGAGGCCCATCGGGAGCCTTGAGACGGGGGTCAATGCAAACGGGGGTCAGCCAGAGCGCCCGATCTTGCCCAGGGTCGCATTGACCTGGATTTTGGTGCAGGCTCCTGCAGGGTCTTGCAGGATCCTTCGCATTGACCCGGGTTTGGGTGCAGGATCTTGCAGGATCTTACAGGATTCTGCAAGGCCTGGCTGACCCGGTTCTGGATTGACCCAGGTCAGAAGATCCCCGAGCCCAGACGGCCACAAGGGGCTCCGAAGTGGAGCGAACAGCTGGGGGCACTTTGGGCCAGGGGCACCTCTAGCAGCCCCCGAGGAGTACCTGCAGAAGCGGGTCGGCGTGCCGCGGGACATGTCGCAGCCGGCTGCCCGGCGGCTCCGCGCGGTGCTGGGCGAGCTGGCTGCAGGGCTGCGGGCGTAGGCGGGCAGGTGCCACGTCCAGCGGCGGTGGCCTCCGACCCGCCGCGCCTCTCTGGCCGTTCCCGCGGGCGTCGCCTCTCCTGTTGGCCCCCCCTCCCCCCCCTCCTCTGCTGGCCCCCGCCCTCCGCAGGCCTCGGGAAATGAGAGCGTCTCCTGATACCACAGGCGTGGCGGCGACGCCCGCGCGGGCGTTCCAGGCTGGGTCTGGCCAGTGGCCCGCACGCGGCCGATCCCGAGCGCCCTGTGCTGTCGGGGCGCCGAGGTGGCTCGGGGTGGAGCGATCCGCGCGGTGTCTGCTGCCCGTGCCTCAGCCCTCCCGCGGGCGGGCCCTCCCGCCCGCGAGCGCGTGGACTTTGCCGAGGCGGCTCGGGCGGGCTGACCCCGATCCTGCGGAGCTCGGGCGGGCGGGCCCTGGCGGGCGGCCCGCTCGCGCCCCCCTCTGCGCCCCCTGCCTCCGCCCCGCCCTCCGCGTCCGTCCCACCTCCGCCCCCGCGTATCCCCCCCCCCTCTGCCCTGCCCCGCCCTGCTGCCCCCCCCGCCCCCTCCTCCTGCTCGTTCTCCTGTGCCCTGCCTGTCCCGCCTGCCTGCTTGTCTCTCCTGCCCGGCTCTGCCCTGCCCTGCCCTGCCCTCCCCCCCGTTCCCCTCTCCCCCTGCCTCTCCATCTGTCCTGTCCATGCTATGCCATCCCCCCTGCCCTGCCCAGCCCCCCCCTTTCCCTCGTTCTCCCCTTGTTACCTGTTACCTGTTGCCCTGGGCCCTACGGCGTTCGAGCGGGCGCCCGGGGAGCACAACGAAGTCGAGCGGGATGAGCGGGATGAGCGGGGAGCTTGGATGCGGAGGAAAGCGAGGACAAGTGGGGGACAGGTGAGCACGCTGGCGAGTTACATGCGCTTTAACTACGAACGAACTACGGGACGGGCCAAGAGAGTCCAGGCGGGCAACTTAGAACCTATGGCAGGCCGCAGGGGGGACAGGGATGAGCCTCGGGGAACTAGGCGGGCCTACAGCAGTCATGACCAAGAGGGACCTAGGGGGGTGATGAAAAATGAGACTCCCGAGGGAAGCAGCTACGCCTCCCAGTCCCTGGACACCCCGCCAGCCCATCTCCTGAGAATGGTGCCAGCCGTCATTTGGCAAAGCCCGCTTGGACATCCATCTGCCTTCGCCAAGTCCCGCCACCGTGCCAGCCCAGCATTCTGGGTGGCGACTATTCGAAGGGGCCCGTCACGTATGACACCTCGTGTCTCCAGGCTTGTGAGAGCCAGGATGAGGATGATACGGACTCTGAGGATGATGGAGATGACGACGACGCCGACGCCGACGCCGACGCCGACGCCGACGCCGCGCCGACGCCGCCGCCGCCGCTGACGACGCCGACGACGCCGACGGCGGTGGTGGTGATGCTGATGATGCTCATGATGCTGATGATGATGGTGCTGCTGATGACGACGATGATGGTGATGATGGTGATGACGATAACGATGACGATGGTGCTGATGATGATAATTATGATGGTGACGATGATGACGATTACTCTGGCGATGATGATGCTGCTGTTGCTGCTGCTGATGATGATAGTGACGTTGTTGTAGTTGATGCTGCTGCTGTTGCTGCTGCTGCTGCTGCTGCTGCTGCTGATGATTATGATTCTGATGCCGATTATGTTAACACTGATGCGGATGCCGCTGCTGATGATGAGGATGGTGATTCTGATGATGATGATGACGACGATTCTGCTCAGTGTTATGCTGATGATGATTCTTGTGCGGATGTTGCTGCTGATGATGCTAATGACGATGCTGATACTGCTGAGGATGCTGCTGCTGACGATGATGATGACGATGATGATGCTGCCGCTGATGCTGACGATGCTTCTGACGCTGCTGCTGATTGTGGTGATGATGATGCTGATGATGCTGCTGATGATGCTGAGGACGATAGTGCTGATGTTGCTGTTGATGTTGTTGTTGATGCTGACGATGTTGATGATGCTGCTGCTGATGCTGCTGGTGATGATACTGATGATGCTGCTGATGATGGTGGTGGTGATGATGACGATGCTGATGATGATGACGATGATCATGATGGTGACAATGATGATGCTGATGCTGCTGCTGCTGATGATGCTGGTGGTGGTGGTGGTGAGGGTGGTGGTGGTGGTGGTGATGGTGACGATGCTGATGATGACACTGCTGATGATGATGCTGCTGCTGATGATGCTGTTGTTGATGATGACGATGAGGCCGACGATGGTGATGACGATGAGGATGATGATGATGATGCTGACGACGATGCTAATGATGATGCTGCTGATGATGATGAGGATGATGATGATGCTTCTGCTGACGATGATGATACTGATGATGATGATGAAGATGATGATGATGATGATGATGATGATGATGATGATGATGATGATGATGATGCTGCTGCTGATGATGATGATGATGATGATGATGATGATGACGATGATGATGATGATGCTGCTGCTGCTGATGATGATGATGATTGGTGATGATGATGGTGTTGATGATGATGCTGCTGATAATGATGATGATGACGATGATGATGATGATGCTGATTATGATGACGATGATGATGGTGCTGATGCTGATGCAGGTGCTGCTGCTGCTGATGATGGTGATGATGATGATGATGAGGAGGAGGAAGAGGAAGAGGATGATGATGAGATTATATGATGATGATGATGACGATGATGATGATGATGATGATGATGATGATGATGATGATGATGATGATGCTGATGCTGATGCTGATGATGATGATGATGATGCTGATGCTGATGATGATGATGATGATGATGATGATGATGTGATGATGATGATGATGTGATGCTGATGCTGATGATGCTGATGCTGATGCTGATGCTGATGATGATGATGATGATGATGCTGATGATGATGATGATGATGATGATCATGATGATGCTGATGCTGATGCTGCTGCTGATGATGATGATGATGATGATGATGATGATGATGAGGAGGAGGAGGAGGAGGAGGAGGAGGAGGAGGAGGAGGAGGAGGAGGTGGAGGAGGAGGAGGAGGATGATGATGCTGCTGATGATGATGATGATGCAACTCGTTTGGGCCGTCTTGAGGCTGCCTGGGCCTCCTGTGAGGCAGTCTTGGGGCCCTTTTGGGCCGTCTTTGGGCCCTCTCGCTGGCTTGAGGTTCTCTTGGGCCTTCTTGTGGCCTTATTGGCCGTATGGTGGGTGTCAGGGGGCCGTCTTGGCGCCGTCTTGGGGTCCTCGAAGGGCCTTTACGGCCGTCTTGGGTCCCACGTGACGCCCTCTTGGGCCTCTTGGGGTCGTCTTGGATGCTTCTTGGGCCATCGTGTAGTCTGCTTCGGCAGCCCGACACGGCGAGAATGCTAACATACTTTCCAAGCCCGAGGGAACTTAATTTTTTGTCGGGTCCTGTTGGAGGTCTTCGTGTGGCCATTGTTGGCCCTTTTGGAGGCATATTGGGCCGTCTTGAATCACTATTCGGCCGCCTTGGGGCCATCTTGGGCTGTCTTCGAGGCATCTTGGGCCATCTTGTTGTCGTTGGTTGCCTGCACGGGCCATGTTGGAAGCTCAGGATGCAAGTCCATCGTTTTTAACGAGGGATCATGTCTTGGGGGGTCCTGGAGCGCATGGGAGCAGCGCCTGGGAATGGGGCAAGTGCACGGTCCTCGAGCGGGTGCAAGTGGGATGAGGAGCCTAGGAGTTAGCAGCCATGCGGGAAGTGCACAACCCTCCAGTGGGCGCGCACGAAATGAGGGTTCACGCACTAGCTGCCATGCGTGAAGTGCACCATCCTGGAGCGGGCACGCGTGGAGGGGGGGTCCAGACATAGCTGCCATGCGAGAAGTGCAGCATCCTCGATCGGGCACGCGTGGAATGGTGGTTTAGGCATTAGCTGCCACGCTGGAAGTGCACCATGCTCGAGCGCGCACGAGGGAAGCGGCCTCGGAAAGAAGAGGCGGTGCACGCAACAGCCTGCCGGCAGGGGGAGGGGCCGTCCTTCCATGGACTGCAAACAGAATGTGCCAGGCGTGCCGGCAGTCTCCCACGCCTCGACGCGCCATGGGGGCACGGCGGCGGACCTGTTCGGGCGGGCCCTGCGCCGTTGGCCGCTCTCGTCACGGCCCATGGCGGCGCTGTGGCCGCCACGGTAGCGGCAGCAACCGCCATGTTGGGCGGCGCCTTCCAGCAGCGGAGGGGGGTGGAAGGCACTGGCAGCCAGTACCTGCCCTGCTTCTGAGGGAGCGCGTGGAGGATGCGAGTGCTCGGGGGTGCGCGCCAGGCTACGGAAATCGGGTTCGGCCAACGCCGCCCGTGTCTCGTACAGCAGGCACACCACATCAGAAATTGGCCTGCCAAAGGGTGGCCCACGAGAATGGGGGTGCGTGCGCATAAATGGCTTCGCGGGATTTCGGGCGTCAGCAGCATCGACCCCTCATCGTGTCAAGGATTTTTCAGGCAGCCTCTGTTCGGAGACCCTTCCTAGCCACACTCACCCTCGCCACGGGGGGCCTAGAACCGCCGCCATGCTGGAGTGGAAGTCGCGCGGCGCCCTGTGACAAGGACCGTTTTGCTTATGCCCTTCGCTCCTGTTCGCAGCACAGTCCAGGTGCGCTGCTTCGAGAACCCCGTGAGCCTGGTATGGATCGAGGGCATCTTCCGACGTGTGTAGACAGATTCTTGCGCGTGTCGTCGGCACGGTGGTTGCGAGGATCGATGCCGGCACATCGTGGGTTACACCCGTGTCACGGTCGCTTCCGTCAGGGTTCTGTTGCTTCTTGGTGAAGTGTGCGACGTGCCGCCGACGCCAGCTGGATGTCCCTCGCCATTCTTCAAGCAGCTTGCCGCGGGTCGGTGTGCAAACGTCTTTCGGTGCATGGGTTGTTGATCGGTCTGGTCTCACTCCCGATGCTGACCATCCAGCATGGGCCCGAGTTGTGGAATGAGCTGGCAGTTCTGGGCTCTGAGCTGCGCGGCGCGAGCGGGGCCATCCGCTCCTGGCTGGCGGCATCCTCCGACGGGGCCGAGCTTGACAGGGGCCCCACTTTGAGAGAAATATGGGAGAGATGCTGGAGGATGCCTTGTGGCCGTCAGGGGTAGGTTCTTCGGA